TGGGCTAAGTAGCGGGAGCCTGTTCAAGAGACGTCTGCAGCTCGAAACAGTCCGGCATGGGCCACATTCAAAGCTAATTGCCAGAGGTACGCTTGGGGCATTTGTAAAGATCAGGATCGATATTAACACGTTGTATGTAATCATTTATCATAGCGAGCGCACTGAACTGCATTCGAGCGAGAGGTGACTCCTTTACCATATTCAGAACACTTTGACGCCATCGTAGTTCCGCTTTATCTGGGAACAGAAAACCATTCCGGATGACACAAAAATTGATAAAGTCACAGTTTTTTACACGGTGCTTTTCAAACACTGTTTCAAATTTGGTTTGCAGGGTACATCTGCAAATGGCGGCTGCCACAGGAAAGTAGGACCACCGGGACGGGAACACAGCACGATATACTGGGCGATTTCAAACCCAAGACACAAGAAAATTAACAGTCAGATTTTCTGTTCAGTATTATTCGACCTTTTTTCGCACGCTTTTCCTGGCAGCACAGCTTCCTGAGTGCCTTGTAGGCCAATTAACCCGTATGGCGCATGATCGAGACTGGTTGAGAAAACTTGAATTTGTCCCACAGTTTCCTCCGCTGATTCATGGAAGCCGCAGTTTCCCATCAATCCAAGAGGGCTCTCTCGCGCGGGGCGAATAACCGGCTGTTAGATCCCCGGAACGATGTCCACCTGTTACCGCTGGCTTCGCTGATCTACATCTGTTGTCTTTTTTCCCTACCCATGTATTGTAGCACAATAGTTGGTGTTTCCCCACTAGCTAACGTGTATGGTGTTGATGACATTAGAAAACAATGACTTCTGATTTATGTAATATTTTACACATCATTCCGCAGTCCACAGTTCGCTACACAGCCACTCTTAGAAGGGTAACCGTAGGTGACACTTTGATCCACATGCGGACTGTCCGTGGCTGGCCCGCCTCCCGCGTGACCAGGTGGTGTGGCCTAATGCAGCTGCTGGGGAAGTATCAATGCAAGCAGACTCTAGCGGGCTCCCAGCGTGCCCTCCATATATGTGCCAAGAAAGACGAAGAACCTAGTGTTCTTTAAATTGTTTGACCACGTATTCTTCCTTACTGTTAACAGGCTGCACATGCACGCACCTTGGACACACTGGGTATTGATGTGTTGTGTGTCCGAAACTAGGATCAGTGACCATAATGGGGTTGTTGAATTAACTGCATCCGGCTTATCCTCTCGTTATTGGTTGCACACATCCGGAGACGCCGATGCAGCACTCATGCGTCAACCTGGTGTAAGTATCATTCTAAGCTCCAAGGCTCAGCCATCGTTGGTTGATTGGATTCCGGTGAACAGCCGTTTATGTGCAGCCCGTTTGACGACATCAGCTAAGGTGGATTCATGAAGTAGTACAAAACGCTGTTTGTTTATGATTTCCGTTTGTACTCCCACCGACTGCAGTTCAAATGCTGTCAATGACATTCTATCACGATCTGAACGCGCCACTACACAGTGCTACTAGTCCAGATATTATAGTGCTTGCAGGAGATATGAATGTACAAGTAGGGCGTCTGAGCTCTTCAGAAGCTCAGCTGGGTGATAGTTGTGGGCTTAACTCCGAACGGACTGCCGACGGCGAGCGTCTGCTGCAATTGTGTGCGGAGCACCAGTTGTTTCTTAGTAGCACTGCTTTTAGACCCAGTGGGCGCCGAAGTGCCACTTGGCGTCCTCCTGTAGCTGGCCAGTGATGGACACAAATTTACTACATAGCCATAAGGTAGAGGTGGCGTGGTTCCATCCTGGATTGCCGCTCGTACTGGCATATCTGTGTCGACTCTGATCATGCCTTAGTACGCTGTCCTTTCTCCATGAACTTTACCGGGAGGCGCACCAAGCGTCTCCTCCAATTGGCTACTGAGAAATTGTCTCAGTCCTCGGTTAGGCAAGCCTATCAAGACGTACAGCGTATCGAACTTTCGCTGTCTTGTCCTGTTGACACTGAGCTTCATTGGAATAGGATCTGCGCCGCCATGCACGACGCAGGCGCAGCTGCTTGTGGCACTATCAATCGTCATTACACCAGTCACTGGATATCTGAGGTCCGTGAACCTGTTGGAATCTAGAAGAAACCTTCGGATGCCTCTGAGCACAAACGTGACCATACGGACTATTAGGCGCGAATTAAAGCGGAGCCTACGTGCTGACAAGGTAACCTGGTGGACCAGTCGGGCTCAAGAAATGGAGGAGGCGGGGTCGGTAGGGAATTATCGCAAGCCCTTCCAGCTAATTCGCACCAATGGTTCCGGGAAACCAGGCGTCAGTAACACAATCAGGGACAGCGCCGGTGCACTGATACACAATAAGGAGCGCCGTATGGCTCGTTAGGCGGAACACTATCAAAATCAGCTAGTCCCCTGTTCCCGGACCTCTTCCCACTCTGGTGATGCAGGACGAGCCATGGACGGTTAGTTTAGAGCTTCCGTCGGTGGCCGAGGTCCGAAACGCTATTACAGCCCTCAATCGGTTTCGTGCCGCTGGCTCGGATTCCCCCTACTTGCAATTCCAAGGGTCTCTAGCGTGCGTTCAAGTCCAGCTTGCTGACCGATCTGCAATAGTACGCGTACCTTGAAGGCTGCAAGTTTGAACTGCATTCCGGGTTACAGGAGCGAAGAGGCGAGACTTCGGGGCTGACAGCTCTCTTTTGAGCATCTTGTGGTTCATCGGTGGAGGGGTTAGTCGGTGTGGAAGAATCAGATAAACATGGGTGTGAATAGTGCAAGGGTAAGTTAAATGGTGGCGTATGCTTGTAAGGTTGGCATATTAGCATGAGTGAGTAGCATCGTAGCATCAAGAGAGCGTGTGAATGGTTGTAGTTGTAAGTCCATGTTTCGTCAGTAGGCGAGATACTACCCGCTTGTCTAGGTCGAGATAGGTAGGTTGTCTTAGGGACCACTGCCCCGAGCCTTTGGTCAAAGGACCTAACCCACAAGGCAGCAGGACGAGATAAGGGATTCGCACCCGTTTGGAACCGGTGACTTGACACTCATTTCATACACCTTTCGGATGACGATAAGCTATGTCAGGGGCTCAACATTCCCGAAGTCTGAGACAAGGTCCGATGACCTGATTCCTTGCCAGTGTACAATGTCTCCAAAGGATACAAGGGACAGTGACTTTATTTAGTGACCAGTCACATCCGCCACGTCGAAGTGTTGTTAGATGTATATTTGTGGCTTTTTATAGGGTGAACGCTTGCCAGACGAAAACCCATCACGTCCTGGAACACGCCCGCCAAACCATTCGCCGGAACAGGAAATTCCCGACCCGCCCATTTGGCACCACGAGGTTGTTCGGCGAACCCGCCTGTTACCACGCAACAAAGTATGGACTCGCTGAGCGAACTAATTGTTCGGATTGCCTTCACGAAAAGGCGGAATTGGCATTGTAACACCGCAAACAGCGACGTCGAAGTCCATAGGATTAGTGTCCATATGAACAATATACAAACTAGACGATATATACCCGTCAGTCAAAAATGGTAAGATGGAGTAAACGAACAGAATTAATGGCCAAATCTAGAAGAAAATGTTAGTGACGGACTTATCGCAAATATTTATAGTCACGGATAGTAATTACAACGCGATCGATGGACCCTGTATTCGCACAGCCAACCATTCGTTTGGAAGAAATGAAAAATCAAATAAAAATAGGCGAGGTATACGTTTATTGTCGAAACATACTATCTCGCTACCTTGACGAGCACCCAAGAAGATAGGTGGTAAGTGATAATGTTCCGGGAACGACGAAGGCAGCGGTTTGCATACCAAATGTGTGTATATAAACAAGGGTAGTCAACTTGCCACAAACGGTCACGCTCACTGATCTCTTTGAACAAGCTACATCAAATCACTTGCGGGACCTTGTCTGTACTTGAAACAGGAAATCTCTAGGCTCGATTTAACGGCTAAATTCTTCGTAAATAGGGCTGTGTCCAGCTGGACTAGATTTCTCTCTGCATAATTGGAGTGTAAAACGGTAGAGAACTTAAGTGATGCCTAGACCCAACTTGGTTGGCCCTGTTCTCCGAATTTCTGTGAGAGTTCAAGGCAACCTTGGCCACGGACTAGTAGCTTATGCAACTTCATGGATGTGTTGTTGTTGTTGTTGTTGTTGTCGTCGTCGTCGTCTTGCTCCTGTCTTTCTCTATTGTACACACAAGAACCTACCATCCGTTCGAAGTGCTGGGGATGTGTTTCGCTTACTTGCACACGACGCTCGTTAAGCGAAAGCTTTCGTCGCTGGATCCCGCCCTGTCCTGTTTCTGCACTACCGTCGCGGCCCCGGCGACCACCTTTACCAGATGCATACTAGTGAGTGCACTTGGAAACGAGCTACAACTGTTTTTCCGGCTGAGTACGGGAGGCTCGACTCGAGGTCACGACTTGCAGCTTGTACACCGAGGATGCCTTATGTTCACTCTGCTATCACCCTGTCCACGCGGGCGATAACGTACTGGAATTGTCTTCCGGAGAACTTTTTCAATGCCCAATCTGAACAAAGTTTCAAGCGGCTGTTGGATTCCTACCTGCGTAAGACGCATGGTCGCACTGTTTTGCTGCGACTGCCTCAGTCCTCTAAGGACTGCTGACCGCAACGACGTATGTACTCCTGTTTTGAGCTGATGGTGATGGGCTGACGTAGGATCTCCCTCTGCTCCCTAGAGCTCAATGAACTTAATGGAATCAACGTGCAAACCGACGGATCCGAAGCAAGGAACTGGCGATAAACAGCTGACATTTACTGTATATGCTCCACCAGAAGCGTGAAAACAAATATATTCGGGGAAGCGGGATTTTCTTACTACCTTTAGTTCTTTCAGTTTGTCCTGCCCAAAAACAGTCGTCAGGGTAAAATTCTGCACCTGGTGGGGTTTTGTACAGGTTGCCTGTAATTTGTCTGTTTTATTGTTGTCTCCAATTTGCATATTTACTTATTACTTCTCAAGACGGTTACATTTCATTTTCAGGTTTCGTTAAGAAGATATGTTCCTTTGCAGTTTTCTCGCTCCTGCAGCATCTTCTCTCCCTTTCCATAACCATTACTTACATGCCTGACCCGCTTGTCACCATTAGGTTACCAAAGTCTTGGAAGTCAGCCTTTTGGATCTTGCTAGCTGGCGGTTCCATTTTCAGTTTGTCTTACCTTCTGTGGAGCAGATTATTTTCTGCAAAGAAAAAGGTGGGCGCACATATCGAATCGGACGGAGGCCAGCTGAAGTCGGATATGAGTACGTTTCCGAATCTAGGACGGAAACTTACGGGAAACGTAACACATTCCCTAAGTTCACATACCTCTGTATTCGAAAAGCGTTCTTCTTTCGTGCCTCCCTATAATTCTGCAAGTGGCGCACTCCTGGGCCTTGATTCGGATCTGGATGATACCTCTTCGTCTCCTGTAGATTTTGGTAGACTCGGTCTACTCGCTCTTGCGGGAGTAGTCGAACACTTGGAAAATTTGATGACGAAAATTCACTTGTTTGAAGCGAACAGTCAGCTTGATAAGACAAGCGACTCCGGGCAGTTGATCAATGAGCTCAGACTTCTTCTCGAACATGCCTATCAATTAAGCGAACAATACCGACGTAAGCTTATATTGGAAAGTCAAGAAAGTCGTACCGGCTCTGTGCATAATGACGTGACCTCTGAGGACGAGACTTGTTCGTATTTCTCTGCACTAGAACAAATTGATCTCACTGAATTGGAATACCAGATTTCAAAAAATCTGCATCGACCGATTTATTGCGAGGCACTGAGAACACTGGATGAAAGTGGAATCCCTTACCGGTACGTACCAATTTACTAACCGGTAAGGCACCCATTTTCTTTGTCCTCACGTCGTTAACACGCTTACTTAGGGCACCTTAAGCTGTTAACATGTCCACATTCATTTACTACTATGGATTCAGTCCCCTACTCCTAGTTTTTGCGGACACTTTTTGCTATCAGAGTGCAATCCCTGTCTATGCAATAAACCGATTCCCCTCTTTTTCGCAAAACATTAAGTGCACTTGTCCACATGATTATTCGAAATCTTCCTGATGAGGGGATAGGCGTCTGCTTTGCAACCTGTTGGTCGCCGGTTCCCATCTGCGTAGATGTGGATGACTTCGTAGTATGCCTAACCCCGCTGTTTATTGCATTACAGCAAGGCATCGGTACGACGTAACGGCGTTCTCCTTTTGCATTATCCCCACTGGGGACCTTGGCGAATGAATAACGGTCGGCCTGCAATATCATCCTTGCCTCATCCTTTACTTGTTATCTAGAGATTACATCATAGCTTCATAACTTTTCGGGATTTTGTATACGTTCTCTTATTGTGTCAGCTGGTGATCGATAATAAGGCGTCTGTCTTGTAATCCAAGACTTGCCGATTCGAATCTGCGTCAATACATGCGACCTCGAAGTATTCCTAGCCCGCGTATGACTGCTGGTGGTCGCGTGCTAGCGATGCATCAGCGCGGCGCGGCGCTCTTGCGTATTGCAAATACCCTTGCATGTCTACGACGGGGCTGAACATGGCTCCAATCTATCTTTGTTTTCATTTATTTAACAGATAATGGATAATCATCAAATGAGCACCCAAGCGTGAACAGTGATGCTAATTCAAACCTAAAGGTGCTGCTCTAGATCGTTACTTATTTCATGTCTTGCCTCCACCCTCTCATCAACACCACAAAGGCGAAGAAAGGTGTTTTGAAATTAGTGAAATACTACGGCTTGATGCCGAGCTTTTCACCGGTTTTCTAACTCATCTTTCACACGCTCATCATCTAAGCTGTACCTCAAAGGTTCAGTCCTATGCCCTTTGGCATCACATTATTTCTGCGTATTTCGTGGCTTTTGTCTCTTATTGTGCGTCGTTGAACGCCTTCTCATCTATTTTGTTACTTTTGCTGGACTTTTCCACATGAGAAACGCAATGGGCTGATTCAAGTGCTTTTTTCCTATTCCTGCTTAACCCATTTACTGCTGCGATTTTAAATTTTCACTATTTTTACATATGTGATAGCAAACGGGGAAAATACACATGAGCTTTGGATTTTAAAAATTCAGCTTATTATAGAATATTATTATAGAATATATGAGTTTTTCTCTTACTGTATTTTTTGAAGGACGCCAGAAACAAATAGTATCGTGACACAAAGAGTTTGCAAGAAAACATGCAACCGATTCTTCTGAACAACACACACACAGTTGTTAACATACTTAAATTGACAGCGTTTACTATTTCCTTCAAAGTGATAATATAACAGAAAGCTACACATTTTAAAAGTACATGTAGTCCACATTTACACGAAAGCGTGTTCCATTTTTCATGCGTGGAGCACCACGGAGCACGCTACGTGTAGTGACACATCACCCACTGGGCAGAGTAGATTGACGTAATTCCCAACAGCACGGCATCTTGATTTTTGTCATTGATCCCAAGTGGTGTACAGGGGAAGGTTTCCTGATTCCGTCTTCAACATTTCGTCGTTTGACGCTGGTTATAAGAAGATTTTTTGAACATATATCTCTGCTAGCTACATTTGCAAGTAGACTTTCACGCCTGCTCCTTTGATGGAGAGCGTGATTTTCTCCACAAAAGTCAAACATTGTTCACTACAGAATCAGGGTAAAAGCAAATAGCGGCCACCATCACTTTTTTGATTCCATATTGGCCGACATTTTGGTCCAATCGGAATACTTCCATCGAAGTTTTATACTTCCTAACAATACCACGTTCAATAACTAATGGCTCTTTGCCCTTCTCCGACCACCTCTTTACTTTTTCCAGGGGGTATGCAAAAACGGAGTTATCGTTCAGACAAAACAAACACGTCATTTCACCTGTCAAACTTATATTCATAATGACTTCTGTTTAGTTTTCCCAGGGCCTTCTTGTCGGTAGGGCACTTGTCTGTCTTAGTTGCCCAAACAGTTCCCTTTCTTTAATGCATTTGCTGGTTGAGGCCTTCATGAACAGCAAACCCCTTCGGGAGTTTGTACACTAGGCCCATAATATCGAAGCATCCCAAACCTAATGCTTTGTCATATTTCATTTGAGCTCCGTGGCAGCATAACCTAGAGGTGTTTCAATGACCCACTATACCCAACTGTAATAGCCTTTCCTCTGGTACTCTTCTTCAGTCCATAACATCCGTAATAATAATAGTAATAATAATAGTAATGATAATAATAATAATAGCTATATTTCCCGATTGTACGAGAAGCTATCCCTGGATTGTGGACAGATCATGGGTACAATAATTATCATGCTCATGCATAAGTGAAATATGTAATATGGGGTCTATGATTTTAAAATAATTTGGAATCACGTAACTTTTGTTGCTGAGTTCTTTGCACCATCTTTAATCATTGATTACATATTCCTTGGTCCATCCTGAAAGAACTTGTGTGGTGATTTACCCGGTGTAAACATGATCATTATCGAGTTCTGGTCAAGGAATTGGTTAAGTTGGATGTGGAATGCTCTTGCATTTGTGCAAGACCTGATTGTGGCTGATAGGCTATTCCACACGACAGCGTATCTGACTAAGAAGAAGTTTGATCGGATAGCTGTCCTGGTTCTCGGCACACATAATGTACGGGTCTTGTTGCGTATATTCCGAATGAAGTTAGGTTGAATTTTAAGTGTACACAGATTGAAGTATGTCTTTTGGTTTATGAGATTGTGTATCAGCACCAGGTTATGTTTTAGTCGTCGCAACCAAAGGGGTTCGAGCTTAAGCTGTTGGCAGCGCTCCTGATAACTCAAGGTGGTTGATTTACTGGACAAGCGCTTAGTGAAAAATGTTTGCAGGTTTTCCAAAGCTTTCCTGTTAACCATTCGCATGTTCCCATAGGTGGTGCTGCAGTCTTCAAGGATAGGAAGTGTAAGTATTTTGAAAAGCTCGAGTCTGGCAGGTCTTGTATAGATTTTATGGCATATGCTAGCCACAGATCGTTTGGCACATGCTATTTGATACTCAGCATGCTCTGAGAAATTAAAGTTTAAAGAGTATCGTATGCCAAGATCACAGTTGGATAGTTTCACACAGATACGTTCATTGTTCAGTTTAACAGACTCTTCGGGCATTAAACAGCCGCGTGACATAATGCATGATTTACTAGCTGAGAAATTTAGCATCCATGTGTTGCACCATTTCTCAAGTGAATCGAGGTCTTCTTGAACGAACAGCATTGCGCTATTGTGTTCGTCTCATCAAAACTTATAAACAGTCTTTATGTCATCGGCGAACAAAACTAGCCTGCCATATTTTATGAACACCGTGATATCGTTACTATAAAGTAAGAAAAGCGAAGGACCAATTACACTCCCTTGGATGACCCTACTAGTGATTGGACTTGGGGACGAGTTATGATTACCTGGAGTGACTATCTGGTAACGCCCATTTAGGTATGATGTCAACCAACCAAATAGTGGGTCTCTGATTCCAAACGACTCGATTCTTTTCAGTAGCCGCTTGTGGGGCACTCTGTCGAATGCTTTCTGCATATCCAGGAACAGTATTATAACTGCATATTTCGAATCAATGGCTTCTGTGATGCAATCCAGGTAGTGCAACTGATACGTTGTACAGGGACGTTTGTCGAGGAACCCATGCTGGTATTTGTTAAGTGTCTCATAACGATGGATAGAGTTCATGATTGCACTTTTAACTAATTTTTCGAGTAATCTAGCGATGACGGGAGTACGTTGGATAGGTCGATAATTAGTGACGTGCTGTTTGGGCCCCCCTTTATGACGAGGGACAATAAACGATGTTTTCCACTGATCCGGAAAGTAGCTAGATTCTAAGGACAAGGTGAACATCTTCAGTAACAGCAGTGGTATGTCAGGTCCACCAAGTTTAATAACTAATGGGGGGAAGCCATCGGAGTTTGGTTTGAGCGATGGTTTGCTGCACTTCATAGCCTGTTGGTTGGTCGAAAGAGATATCTCGACATTATCTATGCCGCTTGTTGTAAGTTCCGGGCAGCAAGGTATAGGGTCGGTTTATACGTTCATGAAAGCAGCGAACAAGTGCTAAACGCCTCACAAATAGCAGGTGGGTCCTTAAGGTGGCGACCCTCCTCAACAATAAGTTATGTAATCAAAGGCATTCGATTGTTAGTCATACGACGGAGTAGTTTGGCCAGTTTCTTTCCTTTGCATCTCATCTGCAAGGCGCTCTACCCCTTTTCAATCCGTTTCATTTGTGGGCGCTTGCTGCAGGCGGTGGATTCGTGCAGCTGTAATACTAGTGATAAGTCTAATTTTTCTGAAGTTCCCGAGTAGTTTTCTCGTTTTCAAGTCACTTGAAGTGTCGCTTACATTCATAGGACAAGGAATGGCACGTTTATTATGCAGGACATGTACAGTTAGAATGCGATTGATATGGTCGTAGAAATGTTCTACCGGATCTGTTTTCCGAAATGCTCCCAGTCAATTCTTCGTATAGTATGCTGGGTAGGTGAGTCGAGTTTGGTATTCATTTCCAAATCGATGGAAAGGCGTAGCATGTTGTGGTCACTACCCGGAAGGTTGTCTAATATGTCAATTTGTGCGTGGGGAATCTCCAGATTGAAGATTAAATCCAGTATGTTGGAATACCTAGTTGGTCTGGTAACCCACTGAGTCCAACCCCCATCATTTTTCATCTACGCACAGATTTTCTTCCATGGGGAAGAATTGCAAAAATCTTTTATCAAGTAGGTTATAAAGTGACCGAACTTTTGCAAATTTGTCATCTTACAGGTTGCCATTGTTTGCCAGATGGAGATACTTCATTATTGTATCGTATCTGTTCTATTTCATTGTCTGCTTGATGGCTGCATCGTGGAGATCACGTTTATAATCCCAATACATATGTCTTCGTGGCAATGGATTAAAGTCAGAGATAAACTGATTAGCTAGAAAAGCACGCATTTTAGCCGTGGTTATACTGAATGAGTGGTCACTTTCTGAACGGGCGTACCCTATGGTCTGCCTTGTCATATGCTCGATAACAGAGTTATTAAGGAAGGGTTCACATGTTTAATATAGTGTAACATCTTCCTTTAAGAAATCGGGCGCACATTCAGACCGTTGTCTTTAAATCTGTGATCCTAGCATAAGTCCTCCAGTCTAGATCTGACATCCTATTGTATTTTTTTATTGAAGAACCAAGCATAGGATCAGAAACCTTCTCTTGTAAACCCATAATGCTGCTTTCTGGTTCTTCTTTCGATTGTTTACCCTCTATGTTGACTGTAATCTCTCATCCATGAGGAAACGCTTAGCTAGCACCCATGTCACTGAGTAACCACCTCAGTGACAGTGAACTGTCAATGAGAGATCCAGCATCCTGAACCACTTCATTGATATCATCTCCATCAGTGTTTTGTCCATCACCCTTCCAAAACACCGTCAGCTTCTTCTGTCATAGCGACAAGATCTTGTGCAGAATTCATTCTAAGATTCCTGCTGAAGAAATAGATTTGACAAATTGAAATGTAGTCAACCTACAACGTTAATACAAACAATGGCATTACAATGGGAAAATCATGTTATTACAATCCAAAACGCTTCACACTGCAAGTGTATAAGCATAATGTATATAGAACTATTTGTAAAATATTTTAAATCATATTAACATTAATTTAGTTACCCCAAGCTTCATGCCACGGTATCATTTGTTGCTGGTGTTTTTTAATAGTACAGATGGTTGCAGCTCAAGGATGCAAGAACGGTTATATGTGAAATGTGCTCTCGACATATAACTTAACATAATATGGCATGCATTTGATACTTTTCAATGGTTAATTAAATAAAGTATTCCAATCTTTTTGGATTGTCTATTTTGCTCACTTTTTTGATCATACACGAAAAGAAAATATGTCCCTTTCAAAATAAGCTTTGATTGCTCCAAATGGTTTTATAAGAATGAGACTTAGTATGTTATCTAAAGTTGCAGACAATGAAATTATAAATACTAGCATAATTCAATGCTTTAATTCACATTTTAAGTCTTATCCTTTAAAAAGGACGCCAACAGCAAATAGGTGAAAGACCGACCTGATCATATTTCATCGTGTATTATACATGGCTTCGCCATTCACAGATCCCTCCGAACGGAATTAGTTGGTTGCGAACGAGACATGGAGTACCTCGCCAAATTGCACTGCCTTCGACAAGCCTTCGATTCAATTTTTGATCAACCGGCCCCTACTCAATGGCTGCGCATTGCTGGAAAGCTCTCCGGATTCCGCTTGTTACATTGCTTGGGCTATCCAACAACCGATTTTGACGAGGCATACGAGTGAGTTTTTCCTCAACACTTTCTATCCCTGACTTCCTTGCTGCTAGATAATTCGTTGATATGACTTCTACTTACTTGCTGTGGAATCGTTTGCCTGAACTGCATTATTTTTATCAGTTTGTATTCGCTTATATACTCATATTTGCTGACACAAACATTTAGGTTTGACGTTGGGAAGCGTTAGTTTGGCAAATGACGAACTTGCACTTGTCCCGTGCATCAATCGATGCTGATTCACATAACCACTTCACTGGCTAACTGTTCGATTTCCCGGCTTAAGCCATCACTCCGCTGACGCGTCGAGGCATGTGTATTTTCACTGTCTCCTATCAACTAGCGGTTGTAACAGAGTAACTGTACCACGGTTTTCTTGATATCCTTTGGTTATCTCATCCCTGAAAGGGCATTGTTTCTGGTGTAAAGCTGGATATCATCGCATTGGGTTTATATACCTATCTACGTTCCCCTTTTCGGCTCTCTTCCACTGTTGTTTTGCATGTTTCTTAACTCACATGGGCTCACACTATCTCCTGCTTTCACAGGTCAAGGTTGGAGTCCACACACCATCTAATTCTTTGAACACAAGGCAATCTGTGTGGCTCATCACTGTCTCACTTACTTTAAGATTTGATTGTTAACCAGCGAGTCCTGATCTAGATCCCATCCTCTCTATGCACTGTGACGATACCCCTGTCATCACAAAAATAACACGTGCTTGGAGTACAGCTCCGCGCTTTATTTATTTTACCGCATTTTAAAAGGTTGCTTCATTCATGCATTGGAGCGAAAACAGTGACCAGATTAAGCCACTGCCGACGCATATTTTCTTACTCCTTCATACGCAAACTTTCGTTTTTTTGTTTTCCTATTGTCTAACTTATCCCTTGTAAATCTCGCTTCTAACTACCTCATCCTACCCTTTACAGCTACTAACTGCCACCACCTGTTTAGCCTTTCTGATTTCATCTATTTTGATATAAAGACAACAACATGCTACGTCAGGCGCTCTAGATTTCGGGGTATTTATTTTCTCATCTGCCGAGATACAAAAGTATGTCACAAAATTGCTACCCAAGACCAATCAGACACAACACTTTATAAGATCCGGTGACCATTTCGCCGGCTTTATACATCACACGCTGCAAGCTGAGTGACGAGATACGCCTGCTGCTGATTGCTGTATATATCCTGTTGGACAGCTGCACAACTGCTGTTCGGCGACTTTCGTTTTACAATATACCCGCTCAGTAGGGCGCCCAGCACATACAATTTTCACTGCCGAAGTTAAGAACAATTGCTCTGGTCGTTTGATCTCCTGGAAATTTTACTCTGGATTGCCCTCTAGGTTCACAGGCACTTGTGGTTTCCCTCTTCAGCTACTTCTCTGGGGTTAGCCCTCATCGCCCTTCAGTCCACCTAATTTCTGGACAACATTGCACTGTAGTCAATCATTTTGTATAAATCCTGGAAATCACCACAACACTTGTGGTTTTTGGTCATGTTACAGTAGATGCATATATCACGGTCATTTTGCCTACTCTTATCTCTTAGACTCTGTTGCCTGGTGGCCGCTCCAAGTAACACATACTATTGCCACTTGGAATACTTAGGTTGGTTTACTGGACTATTCCGTGAGTGACCCACTTCACCTGAAACCACCGCGCCCCACTGAAGTAGACTCAGTCATGCCTGCTATTCGACTTACGAAGTATACTTGTACGTGATATCCTTCTTTGTCTTCGGTTTTCCACATGCAATTCCATCATAACTTCGATTTGCCTGCACTATTTCCCGGTCACTTCGGTCGCTAACACCGTATCCGCGGCAGATATATTTTCTGCGTTAAACGCTCCTTATTCTGCACCACTTCACTTGGTATTACTGTTGGTTCTCCACTTCATACGTGTAATGGGTATTTGTGATGTGACTCTGGCGCTTCACTTTTAGTTCCTGCCTCCGCGTTACTTTAGTCCACATCCGACCGCTTACGATTGCGCAGCAATAATGTATCGATAAGAAACGCTCCTCTTCGTGTATAGAATCGGTGTCATCTCTCAAGGTGCTTCCCGTCGGATTTTTCTAATGGGACTACTAGGCTAAGACGGCGGACGAACAAGTTTATCTACCATCGAAGAAGCAAGCTACAGGGCTCGAAATGCGCGTATGGTTATTTGTATGCGTTTGTCATTAATACGAACGGTTTTGCAACGATCCCTAAGTGCAACTGAAGTTTTCATCTTCCCTTTTACATTTCTCTTCGGGAATCTGAGCTTCTACATCAGCGATAGGACAAGCAAGTTCGCAATGAAGAATCTGCTTCTTGTGTGGTTTAGCTTACGTTGCAAATCCTTTTTGCAGCTGTGATTAACAAAGTCAGATTTAAATCAAGGAGCCGCTTACAATCATTTGCAGGAAAGTGCGAGCTTACTTTACATCAAGACAGATTCACACCGCATTCTGTTCTCACGAACCGTCCTTCCTTTCCGCCTATCCTGTGAATCTGACCTTTGCGCCTGTTATTCCTACATTAGTCCATCAACTTTCGAGTTGGAAACGAGGAATTCCCATTATAATTCCAAACAAGAAAATCTAATGACGTAGTTTGTGAACAGACGTCCTCATTTTGTGCATTCCCTTCAATCCCAAACACACAACTTTTCCAGATAAATCAAAGGGTGTCATAAAATATCGTACATTATCTAGCGCTTGTTATATCAGTTGAGTCTTATTGTCCGCAGTCAACCGCTTTTGTTTGCGTGATGGTCATCATCATCATCACCATTACACGTTAGCTGGAGGTGGAAAACACCTCAGCTATTGTGCCGCAATACAAATGATAAGAAAAGGGAAAAAACGGTGGCACGCCCGCTGAGTCCCCAGTAACGGATGGACATCGTTCCGGAGAGCTAACAGCTGGCTGCCGTAAAAGAAAGTCATATTATGCCTAACGATTGAGATCGTGATTGGAGGGGGATGCTAAACAGGAGGGGGATGGACATAGGAACTCACAACCTAAACGCCATTGGGGCCGGCTCCTAGCCATATCAGCAAGTGTGTCCAACCAAACATGTTCACCGTCCTTTGGACCCCAACCAGGCAATCGGAATGCACCAACCGACGCCAACTTCGAAGTGAGGGTTTTCATTTCTCTCGACCAAGTCATCACCTGGCCTCCCCTCCTCCTCTTCCAACCGCACCCGCAACGCGCAAACAATGCACGTCGCGGGAGTCGGTGTGCTGGCATGCGCAACACGTGGCCCAGCCATCGGAGCCTGGTGCGTGATATAATCGTGCTGAGCAGTTCACTCGCTCTTCCTGCACCAAATAGGCGACGCCGAACACACTCATTGCTCACGCGGTGTTCCCACCAGACATGAGCTAAGCTGCGAAGGCAATACAATGAACCTTTCCTACAACAATTTCTTGCGTGGTGGTGGGCGTTCGCGGTCGAAAACGATGGCCTCCAGTAGCCTAAGCTTGCGGGTCCGTGCATTAGGACTGTGAACGACTCATTAGGATTGACTCTTTAACCGGTGACTGCCGAGGCGGCTCGGTTTCCTGATTCAGCCGACTCCGTCGTCAGATTTCCCATCCGGTTGCATAACCACTTGGGGGTGTGTTCATTGCTTCTGACACAGCCTTTTAGTGCGCCCAACTTAGTTGTCTCCACAACTACAGATGAATTTTGATAGGCATTAAGGCATGCACTGCCTCGTCGTCAGTGTCTTACTCGGAGACAAAAGCATAGGTCTCATCGATGTGAGCAGCCGCATCTCTGCCGCATTTTAGACACTATAGTGAAGCACTTATTCTGTTCTCGGTGACCTTCATGATACGGTCACCTTAGAAAAGTAGCTCATGGATAATTGGTTTCTTAGAGACTGTGTCGGCACACGATTTTGCTTGATTGTTTCACTGATGTGCTTAATAGGCTACGACGGTGAACCTTTTTTATTGCATTATATCGAACGGCAGATCTCCGCTTCTATAGTAGTCCATGCATGATATAACGTTGTTTTGCTTTATTTACCAGGTTGCATCCCTGTGATTGAAGAGCATGCATAAAATGACAACATCATCTCTCAAACTACGTCTTCTGGTTTTCGTGTTTGGAACTTCGAGTTCATCGATTCTGCTTGGCATCTTCGAACAACAGCTCTATTAACTGTCAGCTAATGAATCTCTCGCACCCATCTTTTTATCTTTCTGTTTTTAACAGTTCAGTAGCCCCCACGTTAATCGAAAAGCGAACACTTTGGTTTCGTCGCTTATATTGACAATCATAATTATTCCTCATCCAGTCAATCTTATGAACTAATATCATGCGGTGTCGTAGTTAGGTAATTGTACCAAAAGCTTTGCACATGAGCTTACTGGTGCCTCTGTAGGGTCTGGACATACTGGCAATGTGCCAGCCAACGTAAACCATGGCTACTCTTTCACTCTGTAGCCTCATTTTGCACCGGGCATCGCGCAGCTTCACGGTCGTCGTACTTAGGCCATACGACAGAGAAGATAGGGGAAAACGGGCTGCCACTGATGTCTTATATCTATGTTTTCCACTGATTACTTATGCTCCTTCCGATCTGCATTTCCAGTTTGCTTTCTCTACTCCTCTGTTTACGTGACGACAACTGCACTACTACCACCTGGTTTTCGCTATCTACCTCAGTATCTTCACAGGACCTGTTGGTTTTGTGTCTTTTATTAGATTATGCTGCCCTGTTTCGCTCACCCTCTTCATCGTTGATACTCCAATGCAGATAGGTCAACTGACTGCACTTGCGTACATACTTGGATACCCGATGTTTTGTTGTGTAATGTCTCTGAGAATAGAAATCGGAACTCACACAGTTGTCGCACTAATTGTGCCCTTTTTGTGCTCTCGCTTTTGGTCGCCCAAATCCCTGAATGCCGGTGCAAGGGTTAAGCTGGAGTGGACACCCCCGGAATTTAGGGTGGCATGTGCCTTGGCCGGCTTATGTAGACGCAATCTCTCTGGGGTTTTTGAAGTACCCTTCTCACACAGTTTTTCACTCTTATCCGTGTTTGCTGAACTTCCTTTGTCGCATTCCTTGATTTATCGTTCGACGTCTATCCAATGCACAAAGTCCCTGCATAGTTCCTCCGTATGAATGGATACCTTGTAGATTACCGCATGATATGGGCCTATTTCGGGACCGTGGACCCCGAGTTTGACCAACCCAGCTACTGTCGGCTTTTATAGACACGACACAATCTTTAAATCACCAGTGTTCTGGTATTTGTTCTGCTATTTTTCACTTGTACCATTCCCATGCATCTTTCGTTTTATCTGTGCCAGTTAGTTTCCGTAATTATTTACCTCCACTTCAATTGACTGCTATTGCCATCGGTACCTGAGCCGTTGTAACTTGCTACCGCTTAATTTCGTTGTTACGCTCACGGCTACTTAACTGAACTGCTCTGGATGGGTTACTAGGATCGTTCGGGTAGCATTGTTGTGAAGTCACGTCCTCATTGACCGCACTCTGTCAGATTGCTTGTTTGGCTACTCATCGGCTAGTATCCACTCTCTTCTTTTTCTTCTCCGTTATTTTCCGTTGCCACTTTTTGTCACCATTGTGTCATTCCATTTGGCTACCGTGCTCGTTGCAATTCTTTCCAGAAAGTTGCGTTAGCTTTCGAATGCTGTTTGATTCTTTGTGGCATGTGAATTACTCCATTTAGTCGCAGTCGACTTGCGACCGGCTGGTTGTAGTCCTTAATTGCCTCGTTATTATTTTGTCTGCACTTTTCTCTTTGAATAAATCTCTTTTTGCTCCTTCAGTTTAGATCTGCTTATTTTTCCTTTCGGTCCTACAAACTCAAGGCCGGAGGACGGAAGGTTTGGACTTCTGCCTTGTCACCTGTAGCCTTAAGGGCCACAAGCTTGCCTTGTGATCCGAGGGCGCGCCTTCGAGCCTGCGCAGGGACCGGACGACCCTCGCAGTATCCTTAGCCCACGTGTAACTGGTGGTATTTGCTTGGCAGCGAAGCGTTGTTACTGTGTTCTGACGTACTGCTGATGCCTTGTCACTTAAAGATCACCGGTTGGAACCTACGTATTTGCGATCAATATCACCTCCTCTCTAGCCCACACGCTGCTGATTAGGGCCACGTGGCAACAAACCGTCGGTACGACGTAGCAGCATACTGCTGGTGCCCTTTATCCCCATACATCATGAGATCATCAGCCCTTACGGCTGCCTTTGATAGCTCTTTTCGTTTGACATTCTCATTGCTTCAACGTTAGTTCCTTACTTTAATTCGGAACACTTGTTTTAATGTTGTTCCCATTGTTTTGGGTGCTTGTTCCATAATGTCCTGTCTCAGTCATTCACCTGCTATGGTCATCATCCACTTGTTTTCTGTCCAAATCCTGATATTTACTACGTTTGATGCCTGCTGCGTTCTATGTGTTTATGTTGTATTGGTTTATTTTGTAAGTGCCATGGTCCTCATTTATTCGTCATGTTTTTTACATTCAGAATTGTGTTCCTTGTCCAATCACTCTCTGCTTCGGTTTCTGTGTCCCAACTAGGCGATTGCTCGCGTTTGTGCTGTCTCAGAGATGTCAACCCAATAGCACCATCTCCGAGGAACTCGCTATCAAGGGAGTCAAGGTTGTCAATTTTTACGACGTTGTCATCGATTTGATGCTTCTGGATGCTTTTGAAATACTTTCGAATCCCCCGAATTCTGTGCTTACCATTACGCGCCATCGCTGGCTTAGTGACAATTTTAAGCGCGTTTCCCTTGACTCGACAATCTGGACCATACTGTTAGCGAAACGAAAGCTCCTCACATACGCCGATGGCTTTTACGCTCATTATTACACTTTAGTTGGCACAATCACTCCCGCCCTTGCCTGGGGCTTTCTTGGACCGGACGAGGGTGCTCTCAGGATGTGCAATCGATTCCGCGAAGTTGTCACTGCCTTCTTGCGTGAAGCATTCACTTTCCGTGATGACTTCGAAAGGCCATCTGATGGCGCCAATTCGCGCTTAACTTTTACCCCGGCTAATGAAGTTGATTGCGTCAATGATGACACGGACGATGAGACTCTGGTCCGAAGAGACGATTCTCATGGCTTGGAGTTAAATGACGCCAATGAGGTGGACGACGCGGACGACAGCAGTACTATTGTTTATCGGGCTGCCTTTCCTTCAGGTTTATCTGATCACACGTTGGACGTCCCAGAAAATAACTTAATTGGGTTGCGATACACCACTCTACCTGAGCTTACCCATGATTTATACAGTTTGTTCATACGATACATAAGCCAGCTGTCTAGAATGTTCCGAGAGGAGGCAAGGTTAACTGGATCCCCTTTACCTGAGGAGTGGTCGACCAACCCAGATCCTCCAAGTTTGCACGTATTTTGATCCTTCTGTCTATATTATCTGTTTATGATCACTTATTCTTCACTTAATTTTTCTCTTCTCAACACTACCATCATGCTGTGTACAGAGAAAGTGTATGATTTTTCCCGCAGTTTTCAATGGACATATTGTTCCATTCTTCTTATACCCATTGGTGAGGACGAAATAAAGTGGTCTGTCGAATTTTTTCAACTGTTTTTAACTTTTGTTGTCTTTTTAACTACGTGTGTGAATTTCATCCACCGAATGGGAGAACGTTTTGCATCGCTGCGCATATTTTGTCATCTATTTTGATTTACTTCGGCTTGCTAGTTTCTACTGGCGGTTTTTGCACCTGACGTCTGCCATTCTACACCATTTTGTTCTACTGTCCTTTAGTCACCTTTGTACCTACTCAATGGATGCTACCACGTGTGCTGTGCTTTCGGCTTTCTCGTCTGTATTAGGCCAAGAGGAAGGGGATCGACGTTCGGCCGAGCGGAATCTCACTGCTTTGGAAGTACTTGACTGTGAGTGTATTCTCGATTTCCCATACTCTATCCTACTTTGAAACAACTGCTTCATACCTCAATACGCCTTTATTATTTCAGCTTTCCCTGGTATCCTTATCCGTCTGGTCGCCGATGAAGAGGTGGCACTTGAAGTCCGCCAACTTGCTGGTATCACTTTGCAACACTATATCACAAAGCACTGGGATCCGACGGATCGCGAAAACTTTAAAGAACCTGAGCCTTCCAGCGAGGTGATTGTGCGCCCCATTTCCTCATTTTTAATTGCTTAAACTTGCTGATTGTCGCGCAGCTGGCTATGTTCGATCAGTTGGTGTTTTGTAGTCCAAAGTTTGTTCTGTGGGCTTTACTATTATAATGAGGAAAATGCATCATCAATGAGCTGTTACCTACTGCGGACGCTTCATTGTCACGCAACGCCGACGGTCGTGTGTGGACCAGGAATACCATGAGTTTACCCACCACCCAACAGTCATGAGTCAGCGACCCTAGGTTTAAAAGCCGGACGCCTGAACCACCTAACCGCCTTTTGGTTATCTATTTAACCGCATTTTAATCTTCTACGCGCATTGGTTCATGTTTACAGGCTACTTCGTGACTCTATCTTTCACCTCGATAGGTATGGAATTCTACTTAATTTTGCGCTTCTTTCTATTCTGTATCGCATGTTTACAAACGTCTGGTAGTGTGGACATCACGTTTGTTAGAGGGGACAAGCACGTCAGCCCTTGTGCCCTAATACAAATCTATTAATTGGTACTAAAAAAACACAAAACAAACAAGGAACTCAAGATTACACCCTTATCGCTTTTGACACTAAAGGTTCTTCGAGCTATTTTGCCTGAAGAAATTTTGCATCAGAAACGAAACGTCATGCGCCCGAAAAATACATTAGCAGGTCTCTTATCAAGCCTTCCGAAATGACAACTTCCGAACATCTTCTAAGCTACTGTACATTATGCCCGTTGGAAGGGGAGGGACAGAAAAACAACACGAACACCTCTTCAATATGTCAATATCAGTCTCCAAGAAAACGTGTTCATTTACCTTGTGACCTCAACTCCAGACTCGACGTGCACCTACCCATGTGAGTGACTTCATTCGTCTTGACCACTTCATAAACCCCCTCCTCGCTCCATGCACACCTCGGTCTCGCAAGCAACTCATGCTGGGAGGATCGGTGTGCTGGTGGCGTGCGTGACATGACCCAGTTATCGGACGGTGAAATAACGATGCTACACGGTTCATTCCCTCTACCTACATCAAAAACAAGGCGGTAAACACGCTGTTTCTTGTCACAATATTTCTAATATGCGAAGGCATCTGTGTACCGACGCAATTAGTGTTGGTCGACTTCACATAGTTGTGCGAGCTTACCACATGAAAGCTGTGCAAGCCTCCGTCGTGCCGCAAGATTTCATGCAGCACCATAAATCTCTTCTGTCATGTACTTACGGAGCTTGGTCCATTTAAGCTGTCGACCACTATGGTTTTCGGCTCACAGAGATGGTATGTTCTAGCCTGACCAAATCTTTCGCTCACTATCTTCGTACCATTCTACAAAATCATGAACTTGCTACTTAGTTGTTTCGGCCAACCGGCTGCAGCGAGAGCGCATAATGCACGGCGAGGAGGGCGGTCAACGGATTGGCATGACCAAACCGACGTAGCTGGCTAAACTTTAGCAAATATCTCAGTGAAGTAGAAAAGGGTTTCTTGACAGTCACCAACTGGCACACAGTATTACTCATCCGATATTCCCACCAGACATGGGCACTACTCCGCAAGCACCGGTGATCAAACACTGTCAAGCGTACAATGTCTCCAGTGCGAACTGGTTAGCTCTCTGATCTTTTCACCATTTTTGGCCTTATTACAGTGTTATCCAACCGCAATTGCCGTAGATGTTTGAGCCATTGGAAACCCACTCGATTTTTCATGATATGTGAATTAACCTCCTCGATGTTGTGATCACCCGAGGTGGCACAACTGCCAAAGTAACTGAATCGACCCACCACACCCAATGGCTGTTTGATGATGCCAAGGACCAATAGGTTGTTGGACGAGTCCTGCGACAGTACTTTGCACTTTGAAGGTGTAATGCACAGGCAGAACTGTGCGGCGCTACACGCCAGCCTATCCACTAATCCATGCCACTCAGTCTGACCAAGAGGTGCGGTGTCGTTCACATACTCAAGGTTTGTCAGTCGATCACCTGGCAGAACTTCCACTCCAGATCATACTAATAGGACCGTGATATTTTTGAGCTTTTGGATCCTGGAACTACGGTCAGGCGGAGTCCGACGCTTAACAACTCCACTGCCAACATCGGACAATTTAACCCAACAGACCTTGATCTCAACCGCAGATAAGCCAGCTAACCGATGCACTTATCGCTCTCGCGTCATTCGACAGGCACGTTGATCGTGTTCGACGTTCCTGTGCAACCTACTATGTCACGGTGCACTCATTTCTCTCATTCCACCATCTACATACCGAACAGCGTTGTGATGTGTTGGTTTAGAGGCCAATGCTCCGAGTTGCACTATTGAATCACCCGGGATATTTCATGCGTCGTAGCTCTCACTGATCGGGGAAGCAAAGCATATCGGCTTAGAGCACTTGACAGCCTTTCCCGATGTCGCGATGGTGGAGACGTGACCAAAAACGAAGTGAATGTCACACAGGGCTTCTGGCTTCCTGAAATGGATTACTGATAAGGATTGCATGCATTTGGGCAATGCGTGATTGCAGGGCCGAGTGGATACTACTGATATCGAGGACCGATGAGATACCCAAGCATTATTTCGAAACAAGTTGCAGCACACATGGGTGCAGTACTAGGTTAATTTGCTCTTAAGCCAACTGGATTTTGATCTTCGTTTCTCTAAGGTCCATTGCGCGATGCTAAGCGTTAACTCTGGTCACAATTAGAACTACCATTATCATATTATTCAATGGTCATAAATTAGACAAACCCTGCTTTCTTGCCTTCCATGTTTGTCATAAAATGCGAATGATGCCGATTTCTCTGAGATGACGTTACTCGTGGATCGATGTTGTATGCCTTGTGATTGTGCTTCTGAGCCTGGTTCTTTGGTTAAGAGCCACTTTTTCTCTTTGCTCTATTTACACGCCCTGTTGTTGCTTCATACAACATTCTCAACCATTGTGTTTAACTTAAGCACATCAGTCGTACCGCGGCTTCACAGATGTTACTCTATCTACTTCATTCCATCGACGAGAGTGATTAACCATTGCAGCCGCTTTCTCAATGCTTTCTACTCCTACATTTTTCCACGTCGCTATTACCAACCTTCCACAGCCCCTAGTGCAACCGACGACAACTTGATGTCTGCGCGCGCGTAACTATACTCGCTCATGGTACCACAGTACATAATAATTCCTCACTATATTGAAGGACCATTTTTGAACACCCGTTTTGTAATTGGATTGCAACGTGCATTCTCAAATTTGACCGCGATTAATATCTTAATGAACCTTGGTCACTGCGAACACTGGGACCATAGCCGAAGCGGATGAAAATTGAGTGTTGCCTGCCCGAAAACACTGCACACCACGACACGTTTCCATCCCATTTAGTCTAATCAGATAGATATAGCAAACATGGAACCCGTGATTATTAGAATGGTAGCCGAAACCTCTACCCCTTTGGCCATCCGGTCACGACGGAAAACGCTTGGCAAAACAGTTACTGACTGATTAGAGGGTCATTTTGAAATACACGTTGAGTTACCACAGTACATAATAACTTCCCATTATGTGAATATTCTTGCCGGTTTACACTGCTCGATTTTTTCGCTTGCGTCCAACACTCATAATCGTTGATGCAAAAACATACACTTTTATATAACTTTGGCTGCCCCATGTGCACTACGTCTCCAAACGTTTATCTCATTATTCACGCAGTTTCTAAACCAGGCACACCTATGTTATCCTCTTGGTTCCAACTGAACATGTCTAGACATGCTGATAAAGACCGTGCTGGATTGGACGTCCATCTTATTACTTTTTCTAAGTCCTCGCCTATTAATTCGATTCCTTAGAATGCCAACCCGCGTGCGGCCCTTCATGGTTAGCGCACCGAGTGGCACCCACCTGTTTCTACTGCTTACTCACCGGTCTCTTTTGAATTGTGTGTGGTTCTGAGTTACCAGTTGCGTACTTTCGATCATGACGTGGGCGGTGAAAGCCACTAGAAAGTACTCACTCTGATACGGCCTGTTCATGATGGTTGACTCTTTACGAACGTGCGATATTAAAAGTAAAAGCATCTTGATTGATGACGCTTACTTAAATCATTTTGGTTTCCTTTGTTAGCTGCATTATTCCCTTCTTCTTTTTCCTCCTTGTTTGACCACAGCGCACGTCTTTCTATACTGTTTGTCTTATTTACTTACTTTATGTGATAAATCGATTTTTCTACTTCCATTACATCACATACCATGAATCACGGAGTGTTAGCTTTTCATAGAAACCTTTATCTTTTTATCAGATGTGGTTATTGTGATCACTTTGATTTCCGTCTGATGTAATTTACGCTGTTCATCTTGCCAACCAATTTGGGCCTGTTCTGCAATCTAGTTCCTAACGAGCGACACATCATCCTTTTACTTAACCGAATACAACTTGACAGTTCCGATAACTTCGTGCTAGCTACTGATTTGACTGATTAAGCGCGATTCAATCGCTATGAAGTGAGATTGCGTGACATAGTTGTTGACACACTTATTCGCATTTCCCCATTCATTTTCTTGTTTTATCATTCACCGTTTTTTCATCCTTATTTTACTTCTTTACGTGTTAGTGCTACCACACCCGGCGGATTTTTCAGCCTGTTACATATCTACGGCGTTCGCCTTATTATCGCTTGCTCATTTGCACTGCAGGTAAAGAACAACATCCGGAGAACTCTCATCCGCACACTCCACTCACGTGTTCGCCTGATTCGTACTACTGCTGCGCACATTATTGCTACTATTGTTCAGTTCGATTGGCCAGATGCATGGCCTACTCTGTTCTCCGAACTCACCGATCTGGTCGATTCAGCGACTACGGGAGATAAACTGGAGCTGGGAGATCGCGAGGCCGCTATTCACGGGGTTATGCGAGTTCTGGTCGGTGGGTTATTGATCGGCATTTTATTGCGGCACAATAGCGGAGGTGTTTTTCCCACCTCTAGCTGATGTGTATAATGATGATGATGATGATCGGCATTTTGCCTGGTCTACTGTGCCTCTCTTCGACTATCACTTGTAGTCAGCAATTTGGCATTGTCTCTTCCAATCATCTTCATTCGCTGTAATGTGAATCGTGCTTTGCGACGACATGCTTCATTTGCTTTTTGACTACAAAATACGAGCACTAGCCACATGTTGCACACATTGCACATGAAAATAATTCACGCCTGTTGGGACGTGTCTCCCTCTATATCGTCTCTTTGTTCGCCTGCCATCCATGCGCTGCTGTCTCGTCCGCATATACTTTTAGCCTTTCTACCCCAGGGGTTATAAAGCAGGCATAATTATACAAATGATATCTTTTCGTGCTGAATCCTTGTACTAATTTGTTACACTTTTATCGCTCAGTGCTTTCGTGATATAAGGCAGTTAATCCTCATGCTTTAGACTGCATTCAGTACATAAATTTGTTTTTTTTTTGCAAAACCCGTTTTCTTGACACCACCTAGAGACGAATCACCATAATGAGCCGCCCATCATGTCGACAATTTTGCCGCGTAGGTTTCCTGAGAATCGTCGGTGAATCCTCCCCGGCGACCTCACCGTGCGTGTTGCTATTTACTACCATTCGGACCGCTTCACTGCGGTCTTGTTGCCCTCGTTAAGGGAAATTTTTAGGTCAGTGGCCAGTGAAGCTCAGCTCCTGTTCTCCTTGTTTTTTGTCTTTTTTTGCAGCAATCAGTGGTGAAGTATCCGACCTGGACATTCCACAACTTGCACCAATACTTTTACCTAGGTTGGTTCGAATTTTAAGCCATAAACAGGTTCGTCATCAATGATACTTTCCATTTACTGCTTCCACCTTTATCTGGCGGTGTAACTTCTAGCTCATCACCCTAGCGCGTCCCCTTAACTGTTCTCAGGTCCTACGTGTACTACCTCAGGAATTATCTATTTTGGTTCTCATTAATTACCCCGCCATCGTTTACGACGAGTCTTGTGTTTATGAACGCCATTTATAGTGGTTTTGCTTTGCGTGACAACGTGCTGCCATTTATGCATTCTAGAACCATTGTTGGGCATTCTGACTTCCTCCTTTTGCCTTAGCTTGCTAAATTTTGTTTCCTCGGTCTTGTACGACCTGTAAGTTTTCGTCTATGATGAAAAACATTCTGGCGCTAGTTGGATCCGTGCTATGCGCTTTTTCTCTTACTCGTTCGGCCCAAACTACTGAGGTCACCCGTCAGCAACTAGAAGACTAATGATTATCCTCACACCACTCAAGATGCGCGTGTGCAACGCCAGTTAGCGATTAGTACTTCCCACATGTATCCTGGGTTGTGCATCGTAAACATGTCCAGAATGCTCGAGTCCGCTCGCTGCTACCTTCTCAGCCATGTCCACCTGTAACTGAAACGCCCCTTGATTTTCATCATTTAGTGTTTGGCATTGTGTGCCTGATGTTGCCCTTGACTGTCCATCGAACTCACACTACCAGTGTTCGCCCGGTTAGGTTATTCGTATACCTCCCTACCGGTGCCCTTCATTAATATGGTTTCCGACGCATATTGTAGGTGTAACCCTTGCAGTTGCCCGAGTGCTTATTTGTCTACTTTGCCTTTGTTGTAAAGTAGCCGCTACCCTTGCAATATTCTTTCGCCTTTGCGCTTCGATCAGTCGTTGTGATTGTTTCTGTTCAGCGGTGTTCTGTTACCCATTTGCTTTTTCTGATTTCTTTCATATTCTGTTTTTGCGGTGTCGCGACGCATAGATTCTATTTTGTATGTACCCACCTGAATTTCTTCGTAGAATACTTCACACATTGATCCATAGCCCATTTCTTCCTGCCCATTGTTGCATCGACAATGCCGTTGAAATTCTTCAATCATTTTTAGCAATTCGGTAACGCGACGAGAAGGAGCGTCATCACGGTGCTTGATACTCTCATTACCCTCGTTCTCGGAGCACATAATGAGGTAAGCTGTATTTTCACACTAATTGTTCTTCACTTTTTTAATCTCTGCGCGCCACTATCTTTAAATAAATACAAATTTAACTAGGTAGATAATTCTTATTTTCTAGTCTCACGACACGCATGATCCGTTAGCTACAATAATTATTGATTGCTAAGGAACAAATCGATTATTTGCACGTAAAATATCGCAGTTACATCTCCATCTGTCAGCGCTGATGAATAATATAAATAGTATATGGGTTTCCGAACCGCAAGTGTTACGTAGTGTTTTATTGTATGAAACATCATCACTCATTCAAAGAGAACACCAGTCTGCGGCAACCAATTATTTTCAGTGATTCGTCTACGAGCCTGTACAATTCATATAAGGATAACATACAAAAGAATGCGCAGTGATTGGTTCAAACGTTTGTTTCCGCCTAAGTAGGGTAGGGGTTAGACAGCAAGTCGTTTGTCGATTTCTACACCTTTTCTCAGACGATTGCATTTATTGCGCTTTGGAATTCCTCCTTAAGGCAACTAGGTTCCTCCATAAATCTCTCAAGATATCTTTTAACGGTATAAAATTGCATCCAACGGGCGCGACCGCCCTCTTATACCACTGTTCATTGCGTGACCAATACTAAATCAGCCGAAAACATCCCACTCTTTGTACTCATCTGTTTTTCTCTCGGCTGCTTTGGGGTTCATCACTCAAATAGCAGTCCGTGTTGATACCCATCGGTTGCAGTTTGATAGCATTACGAACTAGCTTGCGAGATCTATGGAGGAGCATTATCTCATTAAGTTATTCCAAAGCGCTATGGACACACTTGACTGCAAAAATGGGTTGTTGACACGAGTCCATTGGGGTTACGCAATCACACTGCCGAAACCAATGTCAGTGACGGTTAGGTTACTGGCAGTCCCGCCAGAGCAGACAAAGATGATGGACACGCTTTCTTCGCGGCATAACGAAGTTGGAATATTTGGTTAGCAATCGCTTCTGATGTAGCGAGCGTTTTCGAACTCAAACATTTCGGTTTGCTCATGGAAACCTGATTGAACACAGTACACGAGTAGGTGGGACAAATTCCACTTGTCCCAACTCTGGCGCCTCTGTTCGTCAACCATTTAGGGTTATTTTCCTTAATGCGACGAACCGTTCAACCTAGGTGTATTCAGGTCGCTGGGTTATGCTCGGGGAAGTCAGCTTTGTTACGGAGAGCCAGCGCACAAGCCGAGAAGCGTGGCGCAACTGTGGATCAATCTACAGCAAGTGATCTACTCGAGTGAAGATCATGATGCGTATCTATGTGGAATCAACGACAAGTCGGACCATGAACATGAACCGTTTGATTTATGTTCATTAATATTAATTAGCATCTCCGATTCTGTTGTGTTAGTGGTTTCCTACAACCTTTTTATTACGCCATGCTCTTATACAATAGAATCAGAATCCGAAATCCCTCTGTCCGGCTGGTCTTGGCGTTCTCATTGCGTTGCGGGTTGAACTGGTTGGGAGCGGCACCACAGATTTCAGGCAGGTTCTCCGTACACTCAGCGAGAACCCACAACAAATTTCTGACGACGGTCAGCCGCACGGTAGCAGCAGGTTAGCCGTACATTCAGCGACCACAACATATTTCTGGGGGCATCTCAACAAGCTTCGACAGTCTGTACTTGTCGCACACAGGAACATGCTAGTTCGTGGCGAAGATAGGTCGTGGTTCTGCAGCATTTATATTACCTATAAAGCTCAGGCGAATGCTACCGTGGGCCCTACTTTCAAGAAGGGTGATAAGCACCTACCTGAAAACTACAGGCCGGTTAGCCTAACAATTGTACTAGTTAAAGTATTAGAGAAGCTGATAAGAGATGCTTTGGAGAAGCACTTGGCTAAGTTCAGCTTGCTCAGCTAATCTCAACATGGGCTCCGCAGAGGCCATTCTTGTTTGACTAACATGCTGCCAAAATATTTAATGGTTATGCGGACTAAGTATGGAGTTTGTTGCGATAAATTATTAATAATAATATAACATAAAACGAACAAACGGAATTACTTTTTGAGCAACCTAATACTTTGTTTCTTCATATCCACATTAGTTGTTTTGATTCCGCTTCAGACCGCAATGGAAGCGTGCATCGGATATCACCTTAACCCATGTTTGGATCAGCTTTTGGTAGATCTCGCAACAGCCACCCGTTCACCAGCGGAGTTGCCATTTGAGTGCGAATTGCTGCAGGTAACAGCTTACTCGTGTCATTGTTAGTAATACGTTTTGTATCTATATTGCACTCCCTTGCTGTGCAGTAGATTTTCTCTACGTAGCATCCGCATCGGAATCGATTTCCCGTAGCAGAAGCAAAGCACAGTTATGGTTTTTAAACTTTCATTCCAATGCACTTCTTTTTATTCTAACTTCCGCAGTGATCAAACGATTTGAGTATGAGAATTATTTATTAGAGAAATTCGCGTGCCTGCATGCGGTGCGGCTACGCTGCCTTCAATCCCTCCTAATTATAGCGTTGCTTTTTATCACCTTTATTCCAAAATCACAGACTGATGAAATTCTACGTCCCACTCGTCTATGGTGCGTGTTTCTACGAGTTGTTTCACATCCTCTAAACCAAGTGATTGAGGCGCAGTTTCTACGCATTAGTTTTCCACTTGGATTATCCGTTTATTTCTGTTTGCTATTGACCAGGCTTCTGTTCTCCACCTTACGTATATTTAATTTTTTGCTCTCCATTTCCACCGTAACTTTCACTTATAGCGCCTGGTTTATTTTAGTATCTTCTACTTGTCATTTTCGATATCAAAACATAGATCCCGTCCGCAAGTTACGCACATTGAGGAGCCCATTATGTTAGTTTATTTGTTTTGTGCCCTGCTGATCTTGAGTCGGTTCTTGCAGTTTTTTCGCAGCTATTTAATTTCTCATGTATAGCTTCCAGTCTACACTGACATCCTACACCAGTTCTTCAATGACCCACATTACTTTCACAGCTCGTTAACCTGTGCATGGAACTTCCTTCTTTTGTCGAACATCAACTAAAGGAAGTTCCAGGTCGACTCACTAGCACACTGGGGCTCATTTTGGCTCGCGTTACTCAAACTTATTTGGAGACCAAGGTTTCCCGCGCTTCATGTGATACATCAGATGGTGATGTGGCGGACTCGGACGGTACGTTTCTCGCATGATTTCTAAGCCTTGCTTAATAGGTTACATGCTGATTAACCACTGATGTTCTTTCAATTTTCTCTGGTGTGTTGTCACTATATTCGCGCGGCACTTTGGCCGACGTTGTGCATGATGCGCTCCATCGCTGTTGGGACTCTTTGCCTGTTACCGTTTTAGCCGGCTTCTGGGCGTCGGCCCTACATTACTTTTTTAGTGTCCTATTTGCTTAGCACCTCTACTTAGGCCTTTACCGTCGGTTTCTTGGTGTTCAACGGAATTCTCTCCACTGTTCAGTTTGTTCTGTTCTCCTTCGTTGCTCGCTTTTCACTTATCTTTTCCACTTCCTAAACACCTGCGCGTTGAGCTTTTTTACTTCTGACTTCTAATGCGACTGTTTCTCCTTTTCCCAACATTATCGCGCATGTCCTTCATTTACCACTCTAATTTTATGGAATTGAATTCGGAGATCTGTTTCTTGCTCACCGCTTCTTTATCGCTCCTATCCCCTTTGCGCACTATTTCATCTGGTCTCAGTTTATTCGCTACACATCTTTAGCTGAATGGTGTATCTGTCAATTTGTAATTGCTCGACTGTTTTCGCCAATCATGTCTCTCTGTGCTCTGCCCACTTGGCACCCTCCTCTGTTCAACACGGTACACCTTTTGAATGCTTTCCCAAGTTGCTATTGAAATCTGTCTTTACGTGCTCTCCAACATGTATGCAAAACACCCTGAATTTAGCTCGTTTTCTTTTTTTGATGCAATCGTCCCTCACCTCAACTACCAAATCCCGACTGGGATCGTCAGAGATATATGATGAAGTATGTCTTTGAAATCTATCTTCTTCAGTTAGTACGCATAAACAGCGCATATATTTCAGATGTAACGATCAGTCTGATTGAAGTACGCAAATCGTTGCCGTCGTCTGTTCAGTTGCAACACGTCCTCCTCACCCCGAAACGATGTTTGATTAGAAGTCTTAGGATCGATCAGAAGCCCTGGTCGATGGCATGGGCCAGTGCGATTGGGAACATCGGCGCATTCTTCCGACTCATCTCGAGCACGGGTCCAGAAGAGCTTCTCGTTGCTTAGAAGGTACCTTGCAAAATGGATAGTTGGTACATTCTTAATCGCATCGCCTAATCCGTTTGGCGGTGCCTCATGAAACTCAGTTCAACAAGCCTTCTGCGATACTATCGCCTATTGAGGCATCTGAGCGCATTTGGACATTTGTTGTCACATCCCCCCAATATTATTTCATTATGCTGAAACAACACAAGCCTCCTGGACCAGTTTCCTTCTTTATTTACTGTGACGTGTTACCGACTGCTTGTCGGCTACTACATCCACTATTTTCAATTATAGTTGACACTAAAGAGATGCTTCTAGACCATCTGTTGCCATCTTTAATCCTCGATTTAAAAAATTCACAGAATCTTGTGCTCAGATAACCGAGGCATTAGCTTTATTTCTGTTGCGTCCAAGTTCTCCACAATCGTCATTCTGCGACGACTTACTGGCCCTCGTGAGAACCGAAACGTTAGGAGTGCGACCGATGTTATCTCTGATCGTGTGTGCATTGGCCGTCAAGTATTCGGGCAAGTAAAATTACAGTAGACTGACCATTGTGATCTCCATTAACCTGGAAGCCACCTTCGACTCCTTTTATTAGGCTGGCATTTGTTACTGTCTCTCACTAAGGAGCGTGTTAAGGAAACTATTTCTCATCCTGGATTCTGTCTCTACGATCACTCCCAAAGGACCTAGGGAAAGCTGTCTTCCGAGTTCTATGGGCAAGTAGAGTTCGCCATGGTTGTTCTCTTTCACGTTTCCATGAGCATGATCATAAATGACTCCGTTCTCTCAGTCTCTTCCGGACTGAAGGATTTCAGTTTACCGACACAAGCATTGAGTTTCCGGACGAGGTAGATCTCCCTGGGTCGAATCCAGTGGTTATGCAACTACTACTGAATAGACTGATACGTAGCGCCCTACACTTAGGCATGTGCTTCGCACCTTCAATGTGCAAACTGCTGTTGCAGGATTGGGCGGACACACCCGGATCTAGCTTTCAGCGAATAACCACTTGATCTGATCGATCTGTTCATTCACCTTGGTAGTTATGTCACCTCTGGTGGTTACACCACTGTGGAGATCGCTTCGCATATCAACAAGGCCCTTGTGGCTTTCCAAGGGCTCGACTATTTATGAATGTAGCGGTTATCAGACTGCGATTCGAACCAGGGTATGCAGCCACGCGAAGACCGTTGTCATTGTATTAATCTGAAACATGTCCGTCTGGTGCTGAATGCATTTAGAGATGATCGTGAAAACACCAGAAGAGTGATCTGTATTCCATCAGCTTGTTTCTGGAGAGAAACCTTCTTGTTCCTTACTGGGGCTTCTTATGTGTTTTAATCGCTTACGTTGGTTAGATTATCTTCCTTATACCGGTTTATCATCTACGGCAGCGTGCGTTGTTTGTGGTTATTTCATCTGGTTGGGTGCAATCACGGGTGGCCAGTCGATGGTGTGTTATGTAAACATTGCGCAATCGACCGATAGACTTGATCAGGCTCATACATATCGTCTTCCTAGATGGAAGCATCGGAACGAGCCACTTCAGTAGTTAATAACTATATGGAAGTCATCGATCCTCACTGAGAATTGCATGCCTTAACATACGCGCTTTGTTCCGGATCGATCAACATGTATCGCTTTTTATTTCGATTCAGGAAAGAGCTTTATTCGCCTATAAAGGGGAATATTCAGTTGTAGATTAGGCTCATTGATCTATATCTGTTGCTTGTCTGAGATCAGCACACAAGATTTGAGCTTTACGCTCATACTACCACCCTTCGTCGGCCGTTGGCAGATGGGATCAGAGATCACCGCGGTTTGAATCGGCATAAGGGCGGGTGATCTCACAGTATACCTAGCCCGATCACGTTTAGTGGTTGTGACGTGGCTGCAGAGCCTCGGGGTGACGTGCTGCTGATATCTTTTATTTGCTGCACTTCCTGTAAGACAAGTAGCAATCTTCCAGTTTCTCTCCAGGGTTAACACAGCTCTCACCCCGGTCAGATCAGTGCGTGTATTGTTTCGAGCCCACGAACTAAAGACACTGATCAGTTGTGTTCCACTCGAGAGCATGATATACGCCGTCAGATCAGTTTGACCATTCTGAGCTTCGAAGTCGCGCCGGGACACTGGGTTCTCTACTATCATTTCTACCCAAAACCTTGGCACTGACTCTGAAGCATGAACTCTATCAACTGAACTAGCTTTTTATTCCCAGAAGAAGTGTAGGTCTCGTAGTGCTAGCTGCATTGTTTGTTCCTGGTTGTATGGATAACCTGCTACTACACCTCAAGCTGACCAGCCAACCTACCAAATTAGAAGACAAAGTCCTCGGGCGAAAATTGTATTGCACCCGGCAAGCAGTATAATCAGATCAAATAAGGGATCGAATCAACAGTTAATAAAGGAATGGCGTAGCGCTCACTGGCGTGCTTCAAGCCGGACCGTCTTCATTGGCAACGTTCAAGGTGAAGCGTCATCATTAACCCACTCTCATTGGTTAGCCAGTAAACTTCGGCCTGCATCATGGTCAACTATGCCTGGCTGCTGCAAATGGGTGCCTTCTCCGGTACCACCTTCCCCGCGAAAATTATCATGACTTCCTTCATGGATCCAGCTGCATTCTAATGACGGATCTCCGTACTCGATCAGTCTGACGCTGTGTTTGGATTTTCGTCTCTTTGGGAACGAGGTGCATTCCAAGCTTTCTAAATATTTGATAGCATATCAAAACTGTCCAGTAGACTATCTAGCGGTTGCAGTCAATTACTAGTACTAGCCGGGATTCTTCTTGGTTGCAACTGATTAGCATGACTGGTCCAAAGTACCCACTTTGATCTCATTGAGCACTCGACCAAGTCTTCTCCAGATCGATCCTATCACCCACTGAGGACTTGCCACTCGATGGTCTCAGACCAAAACATATCGCGGGTTAAATTGACCTTGAGTTCTGTGTCGCTCAATGTAGTACCTTTCCAATTGAAGGTTCCTCTCTTGCGGGATACTACGCTTCGGGAGCAGCAAGGAATTTACATTGCGGTGCTTTCGTCCCATCAATGCCTCCGTTGTCGACAACTGATTTGGAACCTGGGGATTCGAGGTTGATCTATACACTAGCAGAAATGCATCCAGTGTCTCTTGCGTAGGTTCTTCCCCCCTCATCTTCAGTAGCGATCGCTTAAACGTGTCAACGAAGCGTTCTGCTTGTCCATTTGACTGAGGTTGGAACGGTGGTGAGCGTAGATTCGTAATGCGCAAAACTCGGCAAACTGGGAAAAAGTGAACTGCGAAGCATTGTCATTGACTGAGGTTTTAGGTATTCCGTGCTCACTGAAAACGTTAGTTTTTGCCCTGCTTGGTGTATGCTCCATGCAGGAGACCTCAGGCCACTCGCTGAAGTATTCAGCAACGACCAGTTACTGCTGACCATTCACGTGGCCAAAGAAATCAGCGTGCACTCTTTTCTACGGTGTAGTTGCCATCGGCCAGGAAACTGGTTCGGCCTTTCTGTGTGCCATACTGACAATGGCGCACCTCGGACATGACTTTGCAAGTTGCTCGAGTTCCGAGTCAATGTTTGGCCAGTAGACGAAACTTAATGCAATGTTTTTTATTTGGTTGATTCCAGGATGACCTCGGTGAAATTGCTGGAGAACTCTATGACGAAGCTACTTGTGAATGATAACTCTTTCGGCCAATAGTAAGCACCCATTAACGACTGAAAACTCATCTCTCTTCCGGGACAATATTTGTAACTCACCAGCTAGATTGTCTCTCAGCCACTGAGTAGTATGGCATTTGATTTCATGCTGTAAAACAGAATCGCGCGCGGATGCTTCACCAACCATTTCGAACGTCACAGGAAATTTCCTAAAGCTCTCCATCAATACTTGATTCATCTCCGATTTTAGGGAGACCGCTGC